CTTGAAACTTATAGGTAAGCCAGCTGGAAGGCGCCTCGTCGGAAGAGGACGCTTCAAGGTTTGGCTGAGGCGATCTTCAAGACACTGGCTTCGTTGGAAATTAAGATCTCCGAAAGCGGAAGGCGGAAGGTCACGCGTTAGATAAGAATGCTGAGCTTCTGGGCGACTATCGCCGACGACTCAAAGCCGCTCTCCGACGGAATGATGAATGAGAAAAAGATTTATCGGAAGCCCGCAGAGAGGTTAACTATACCAGCATGGTGAACCCGTTGATGTATTGGGCGCTCACTAGGCTGAACGCGGGCGGGACTCAGCGGAGACTGGGAGTAACAGCAGTGATGATGTTGATCGAAAGTACGTTACCGAGGTTGAGGCCGCTTCACGACGAGAACAGCAGAGGTTAGGTCTACGTTGGAGGATTCTTGCATCTCGACAAAGGCTTGTGGTTATTGTTTCGTCGCGCAAAAGGACATGGTAATTCGCCGTGCTTGCCTGGTAGGGCTGCTCGCCTCGAACGTGAGCTCGAGGCGGCGGTAAGGGCTGCTCAGCGTGTTACTCACGATAAGAAAGTCAAGAAGGCCCTCGAGAGTGAACTAACTTATGTACAACATTAACCTCTCTTACGAGATTGATCCAGTGACAAGTCTCGCGCCACGCGAGTCGCGTGGCTCTATCAGATAAGGGCGGATAAGGAGAAACACAGGAGAGAGAGGGACGTTATAATGGAGCGTTTGGCTTCTCAGCATCACTCTCAGCAAGATCTGGATGAACGAAGGGCACGGCACAAGGTGATCCATCCTACTAAGATCTCCATCACTGCAATAGAGCTGTTATCTCAGACAGAGAAATCTTGAAGAAATGCCGAGAGGATAGCGACGTTGGAGTCTTTGTTACACAAGCCGCTATCGTACTCCAACTTTTGGATTACGGTAGCCTTCGGTTTTTCCTTCCAAGGTATACCCCCCTTCACTCCTTCGCCGTATACCTCTGTTCAATAGGTTCTTTGTAAGTCCTCTCGGTGGCCACTGGTCACTCCTCTCTAGCCGAGAGGTGATAGGAATGCACCAAGCACTGAACCTTGAAGCTCTAAACCCGCAGCCCGAACACTGGAGTCGGGATTTATCGCGGGTCTGGCTGAGGATCAAAGCTCTGAAGGCTGATATGAGTCGACAACCGACCTTTCGCTGGCTGCACTTTGATAGACTTGGGTCCAATGGTGCGCTCACAGCGGGATTCTTGAAGCCTGTATAGAGGTTTTGGGTTCATGCACTGGAAGCGCCGTGCGCAGCGATCGAACAAGTCCAAGTTTGCGTAGCATACGTCCTCGTACTTATTCTGCCTGAAGCCTTTGAGCCAATTGACTCCCGGGCGGCATGGGCAAGGGAAAAATCAATTGAGCTCTGGCAACTCAACTTGCCGATGCTCAAGAATAGCAAATTCTAAATCGATCACGGGATCGATGACGATCTGCGCAAAATCCTGTGCGCAGGTTCGAATCCTCGCTCATGTACCTCTGCATTTTAACGTGTCACACACAATTATTGAAATCCTGCAGACTCGAAATTACTGAAGTAGCTAAAATGGCAGAAACAATGAAGCACTGAAATCAACCATCATCAGGTAAGACAAATCAAATTCCTAATGGGCGAAAAAGCAACATCCAAAAACCAACTGCACGACAAGGACTCAACCGACTGTCGAGGTTCCGCTTGGAATTAGATAACCTTTTGAACACAAAATCCAATGGCCTAAAACCAACAAGCGGTTGTCAAAGTGAAGCTGGCATGACCACTGTGTACTTCCGCGAGGGTCTGGACTGTTGTCCATGCGTTCCAAAGCATGGTGAGCAGAGTGTCCAGGACCCAAACCCAAGCCAGA